CCCGCCCCCCCCAGCGGCAAAGTTTTCCCCCTGGGGGGGGAGGGTCGGCCATGGCTTTAAATTTCCCGGGGGGGTTCCGAGCAGTGCGCGGCCCCTCCGAGGTTTGAAGCTCCCCCCTCCCTTGGGGAAGTGAGATTTGCTCGACCCCCCTTTGATCCTGGGGAACAAGCTCCTTTTGTAGCTGGATGGGTCACACCGCCATCCCCGCCGAGGTTTCCCAGTGAAATGATGGAGAGGGGGGGCGACCCCCCCCGATTTACCCCTTGGGGGGCCCTCAGGGGGGGGCCCCCCGATCCTGTACCGTGTTTGTTATGCCCCCCCCCCCCCCCCCCCCGCTGAGCACACCAGCGAGGGAGGGCGAGACGATCGAGGGGTCCCGTACCATGCGGAATCGACCCTATCAAGTGCTCAAGTGCTCACATCGAAGGCTAGCTCAAAACAAATGAGACTCCGTCCCCGTGCCCGGTTCCTCTCGGTCGCGTTGCCCGTCCGGCGTGTGCACATGTGTGGATGCAGCATGGTGTCACGCTGTGGACTTCTACTAAATTGCCGCGTAAATTTCCCTTCCCAAGGAAAAGCTCACAGTGTGAGAGGGCGTCACATCTACCATCACACTTGCAACAATAACGATTACCCTAGTTCGGCCCAGCATGCTCTCTCTCTCTCTCTCTCTCTCTCTCTCTCACTCTCTCTCTCTCTCTCTCTCAGCATGCTCGATGCTCGAGCTTTGGACCACAGACGGGGTCAAACACTCAAACTGACCCACCCGATACATAGTCGTTCGACAACCCCGGGAAGATACCGGGAGATACCGGGAGATACAAGGAGATACGAGATACGGGCAGATACGGGCAGATACGGGCAGATACGGGGAGACAAGGGGAGAAGCGAGAAGATGCGAGGAGATGCGAGGAGATACGGTCAGATATTGGAGAGAGAGAGAGATACATCAAGATACCGCAAAAAAAATCCAAGAGATGGGTCGGGGGGCGGGAGAATCCAAAAAAGCCCAGGTGGCGTTTATTTTTGCTTGGGCGGCCCTGATGCCGGGGTAGGTAGGTAGGGTCTGGGCCCTCCCGTCGGGTTTTTCCCTCTTCCACGCTGGAATTTTCACAGCATAAAAAGAAATTTTCCCGCGGAAATCACGATGTCAACCCTCCCCAAGTGGGTGATCTGATGCTTGTAGGGCTTGAGAGTGGCCTGCCATGTCACAAGAAGGACTGTGGTTGCAGGAGAGTACCACCAACCATCACTCTAGTTGGTATAGTACCCCACCTTCACCCCTCCCATGATTTCTTTTTTAGTTTCCCATAAGTAAGGTAGGTAGGTAGGTAGGTAGGTAGGGGCACCGCAGGGGCCGGTCAGGTTTTTCCAGAATTTCAGCATCAGGGCCGCCCAAGCAAAAATAAACGCCACCTGAAAAGCCGTCCAAAAAGCCACAAAAAGCCAGCGAGCCTCGTTACGCGATTGCTCGCGAAGCGCAGCAAAAGCCCCCTTCCTCTTCTTGGAGGTGTCACGGTCCTCTGGGCGTTCATCTGCCTCTCGAGCGGCCGCGTCGCAATCCCACTCACCGCCGTCTTGTTCGCCACCTTCGCCAGCTGGCGGCTCCTCGGCATAGGCACTTTTTATGACGGCTCGCGGCGCCACTACACCAGCACACGACCTGCGAAGGCTCCTGAGGCTCCTGCGAGAACCATGCGCTTGGCGGAGCGCGCCCTCCGCGCGTGGCACCTCGACCTCTTCACGTACGTCCTCTCCAAGGTCTGGTTTGACCTGCTCTTTGTGTACGTGCTACGCCTGCTCCCCAGGCCATACTGCTGTCCGGTCGGCGAGTCGCCGCGCCAGCGCCTCTTCTTCTCCCTCGTGCTGAAGCAGTGCTCGGCGGCTGAGTCAACCGCCACGCCGTGCCGCGAATCAGCCTCCGCCGCGGCGCTCCTCGCCGCGGCGGCCGCGCTCCTCGCCGCCCTCGGCCTCATCGACCAGGGCGTGCAGAGCCTCGCTATGCGGAACGCCTCGGCCGCCCGGCTGGTGCAGAGCGTGGCAGGGATGTTCCTCGGCTGGGCGCTCGGCCACGCCTACGCCCACGCCATCTCGGAGGGCGGAGGCGCGGTGTGCGGCGACGGCTGGACGTGCAGCATCTTTGCCGATCTCGCCTCGGCAGTGCTTGTGACCGTCTCCGCGGCCCCGCTCGTCGCGGCGCTGCTGCGGCTAGCCTCCTGCGGCGGCGGCGCCAACGCCACTGCGGCCGAGGAGAGCAGCGGCGAGCGGGACGGCGCGGGAGGCGTGCTGCGCCGGTGCGTGTGCTCCTGCGCTCGGCTATTGGCGGGCGGGCTGAGCACGATGACGATGGTCGCTTGGGTCGAGGTTAGGGTTAGGGTTAGGGTTAGCACGCTGGGACGATGGTTGCCTGGGTCGAGGCGGCGGCGAGCGAGGGGAGGACCGGTCCGCACCACCCTCCTCACGAGGCGCGGCGGCCGCACTGCAGGCGCTCAAGAGCTCCATCATGGAGACGGGCCAGCCGGTCCAGCAGCCAGGCGCGCTGCGGGAGCCTTCCGGGGCCCTTCTCGCAGCCCTCGCGGAGCCTTCTAGGTGGTGCAGCTCGGCGCGCTGCAGGCGCTGCACGAGTCGCACGCGGACCTCTGCCGCGCGGACAACGAGAGCAGCGCCGTCTGCGCGGCGCCGCAGACCGCGGAGGCGCTGCTGCGCGACGCATCAGAGTACCGGCTGCTGCTGCGGCGGCAGATTGCCCCGGGCGGCTGGAGGCTGCCCCTCACCAAGCGGCTCCTCGTCCTCTGGGCGATCGTCTCACCTTCGGCGCCGCCGCCCCTCCCTCCCGCC